GTTTTGCTTCTCATCCAGAGAAGCTTCCTCCCTTCTGAGTAACAGTTCAATCCTTACATCAGAATGGAAGAAGCTTCTTGGAATATGGGAGGTGAGCTACGAAGAGAATGCTTAACACCTTAAGCAAATAAGAGACGATAGTTAAAGAAAAACTTTCTTCTTTTTAAATTTATTTGTACCTTTTTCTTCTTCAATATAACAAAGATATAATTCAATCCAGAATAGGGTTGGGAATAAGGGGGGAGGGAATAACAGAATGCATGAAATGGAATTTGAATGACAGTTAAAGTGGTGATTACTATAAAAATAATGTATTGAAATATTGATTAGTTAAATAAGGGAAGTTTGGAATTTAATATGCATAGGACTATTACTAGTAAATCTACAAGGACTTGTTAAATATATTAAATATGATTACTGATGTTTTATTTGTGGTAAAAGGAAGGATGTATTTGATGAATGGAATGTTATATTTAAAAAAAAACCTAATTAGGGCTTATTCTTGGGAACTGTAATGGCATAACTAAAGTTTGAACTGGGATGGAACTGGAGAGAAAGGAGAAATATTAGAAGCATGTAAGTGTATTAAAGTTAAACAAACCCTTCCCTGGCCGGATGAGAAGCAAAACCTTTTCAGGTTTTTTTTTCCCTTGAAGAGGTTTCGCTTCTCACCCGAGAAGTTTCTTCTGTTCTGATGAAAGGATTGAACTGTTACTCAGAAGGGAGGAAGCGCGTGGGTTGGTAGCGGGCCGTGGCCCATGGGTTGTGAACCTCTGGCTTAAGGTTTCCTGCTTGAGCAACGGGTTGAAAACTCCACGGTCTGTTCTGAGTCTATTATTCCATATCGATAGCGGGTATCCAACTGGTGCAGTGGAGTCCAGACAGTGTCCCGTTGAACTCGAACCAACCATGGCAGTTGGTGATGTTGGAAAAATCAAACGGTGTTGATAGCTATGATTGCAGGAATGTCCCACAAACGTTACTCTCTCAGAATTGGCTAGCTGTCAGGATTCCGGCAGTCACCCCCAATGAAAGCATGAGCTTCGAACCAAGATTCAAAAACTCCATTTATTAGGAGCTAACATGTTGGCATGACCCGTGTGTAAGCCGATTCTGAGACACGTAATTCACTGTCACCCTTGACCCTGGTTTTCCCCGCGCCCCCTTTGGGTGTGTCATAATTCATATTCTCCAATGAAACACATTCATAGCCAAGAGTCATCAATCATATTCTCCAATTAAGGTTTTTGCACGACAGAAACTCCAGTTGCTTCATTATAATTTTTGCAAGATATGAGTGGAATGCACTTTCGGTTCCAGACTGCTGCATGGCTCTTATAAACTCCTCCCCTTTCTGTTGGCAGCTATAAAACGGGCATAGAAATGTTCTTTGAGTTGACATTTACATCATGTTGTGAAGGAATGCCACCTCGAAAGGTTCCCTGCATTTCTGCAAGAACGACATCATCTCAAGGGCAGCATTGCCCAATGGCTAGATATCCAGATACTTGACCATAAGCTTAGCCATCTAGTAACTGCTCAGGTGTAATTTAATTTCATGTGTACTTTGATTATTCATCCTTTGTACTGCGAGTTTTTAAAATAGTTCCTTGCTCCGGGGTTCTATATTTTCATATACATTTTATATGCTAAAAGTCTATTTTTAATCATCCAAGGTCAGGGTTGACCCAAAGGTGCATTTTTCCAATAGGCAACACAACTTACTTGTGTTTTTCCCCCTTGAAAAGGTTTTTCTTCTCATCCATGCCATTCCTCCCTTCTGAGTAACAGTTTGATCCTTCCATCAGAATGGAAGAAGCTTCTCGGATGAGAAGCGACACCTCTTCAAGGAAAAAAAACCCTGAAAAGGTTTTGCTTCTCATCCAGAGAAGCTTCCTCCCTTTTGAGTAACAGTTCAATCCTTCCATCAGAATGGATGAAGCTTGTCAGATGAGAAGCGACACCTCTTCAAGGAAAAAAAAACCTGAAAAGTTTTTGCTTCTCATTCAGAGAAGCTTTCTGAGTAACAGTTCTATCCTTCCATCAGAACTGAAGAAGCTTCTCGGATGAGAAGCAAAACCTCTTCAAGGAAAAAAAAACCAAGAAAGTCAAGTTGCCTTTCGGGAAAAATGGAGACAATTTAGGTCTGGTTCTTGTGATTTTGTTTAATGCATAAATGCTATACCATGGGAAATAAATAAATAAAGAGGGGTCCGCCTCGCAGAAAATGATGTTTCTCTTACCTGTGGTGCAGATTGTGTGACACTCGCGCACCTCTTGGGCATCCCCTTGGCATGGGGCACCCCCGTTGGCTGCCGGTGGGTTGGAGGGGGATCTGTAGAGAAAGAGGATGGTTTGGGGGAACTTTTAAAGTAGTGATTAGTTTTCCATCCATTTTTCACGGAGAGGGTACATACAGGTAATCCTTGGTTTATGACCGTAACGGAACTTGCCCATCATGGTCATAAGTCATAATATTCATAAAAGCAAGGATTCTACCAGTTCTGCCTGGTTCAGCCCAGTTCGTCACGGTTCGGTCGAACGAGTAGTGACGAGGACCATCTGTGAGCAAGCCAGTTTGCTCCGATGATCAGCTGTTGGGATCCCCTGCCCGCCCCGTCTCTATTCTGACCCTCATTTCTTGGTTTTTAAGCTCAGCTGCTTTGTGTGGCACAGGAGATGGCCACGTGCCAGCTGTTGAACACACAGGGAGAGTGCAGGATTGCAGGAAAAGGTCAGTAGCAAACTATCTGTGCGCGCGCGATGCGAGTGCTCACCAAACCAATTGTTACACCAGTTGAATCCCACCCCTGCCAGGGTCGTTCTCTGGTTAAGAGAATGCTGCAGTCGTTAAGCAAACCAATGGTGCGCTGTGGCCCGTTGTGCTGAAAAATGGCAATAAATGCCCTTTTTTTGTTTTGTACAAAACTGTCGTAACACACATTCATGGGACCACAGGACACTACAAAGGCAGAGTTAAGGTTCCGACCAACAAACTCAACCAAGTCAGCATTTTGAGATGATCAGATTTCTCAAAGGATTGTTTGATTGAGTCACGGACTGAAGGAACCAATGTGGAGGATGGATGGATGGATGGATGGAAGAATGGATGGATGGAAGTAGATAGATAGATAGATAGATAGATAGATAGATAGATAGATAGATAGATAGATAGATAGATAGATAGGCAGGCAGGCAGGCAGGCAGGCAGGCAGGCAGGCAGATGGAACAGATAGATTAGACAGATTAGAGAGAGTGGGATACAGTAGATAGACAAATAGAGAGAGAGATTGGAGAGATACAGATAGATGTAGATATAGAGATATAGAGATAGAGATAGATAGAGATAGATAGATAAAACAGATTATTTATCTATCTATCTATCAGTAGAGGTAGAGAGAGAAATAGATATAGAGATAGATAGATAAAACAGATAGACAGACAGACAGAGAGAGAGAGAGAGGTAAAGATATAGAGATAGATAGATAGATAGATAGATAGATAGATAGATAGATAGATAGA